GACTCAAATACTTCTTCTCTGAGTATCAAATCTGTTTGCAGGGCTAGCAAGAATACAATTCCTTTACTATCAGCCCAAAGGCATATCCCTGAAAATTAAGTGTTTGAGCCTTCAGACTGTGTATTAGGATCCATAAAATAGGAAGTGTGGCGCCAGGAAATCCCTCTTTGATGATCATGGGTCATTTAGTGTTCTCATTTGTTTTCATGCAGATGTACAAAATCTAGGTCTTTAAAACACAAACATAGGAAGTCTTCATACCAGTTTTAAGAGGATTCTCACTCCAAAATAATCAAAATAAAAAGATAAATCTTTGTCACTGCTGCATCAGTGTAATTTCACAATTGCTAGAGAGTGTCCACTCACTAAGATCAGTGTTTCCCTCAGAGGAAAATCAAGTAAAACCATCTTTGATAAATAAAAATTAAATTAGAGCACATATATTTGCTATGCATAATTTTTACCTTCTGTGTGTCCACTGCCTGCTCATTAGTTTGGCCTTTAAAGAAGAGATAGACTAAAGAGCTCATCACTGTTCTTCCAAGGATCTGATGTTTGCAAGCTGAACAGCTCATCAACACATCAATCATATTTCTTTAATCAATGCCGTAGGTGCTGGGGGTGCTGGGGACATGGTAATTGAAGGTTTGTCATGTAGCAAGTTACAGAGCCTTTAATCATTAGCATCCACATCCCTCACATAGTGCTACACATACTGGGCTTTTCATACCCATGTTGACATTAGAACTATTACTCATAATGCAGAAGTTTATGTCTCCACTACAGCAAACACCCTTGCCCACAGGTAAAAGGATGAGCTGGGCCATAAACTACAGCGAGGCCCTTCTCTCAGCACCAAATCAAGGCAAGATTCTGGTCTCAGTACCACCTATAGAAAATTCAGTTGAGGCCATTAAGATGAATAGAGACCATTTAGTATGAAAGGAGTAGGAATAAAAATTGTTTATGACTAGAAATCCAGGAATCTCAGAACACACTGGTTAATCAGTTAGTATTTCCTTTAAAAACAAAAGTA